TTGTTAACCCATAAAGCATGAAACTCGGAAGCGAGAGCCTTGAGAAATAAGCCCCAAAGTTCAGGGAATGGTCAGACAGAGAAAAACAATGCTTGGCTGAGGAACAGAAATGTCTTTCAAAGAAAACAAGAAGAGCCTGACGTCCCTCACTCATGCTTCCTGGACAGCTGCCTTTTTCTGAGATGCCCAGCTCATTTGCCTGGGCAAATCACAAGAGAAGCAGGTTTTAACTACATCCCATCAGCCGGAGAAAAGGGATATCACTTTTTGGAAGGTAAACCCAGGGGTTTCACGTTTGGTTGTTGAATTTCTGACAGTCTCCCAGAGTATTTTCGACCCAAGATATAATTTTATAAAGAACTTATGTTTTAAATCGTCTGTCTGTAAAATACATCTAGATGAAATTTCATTTTCTCTGAACCTTTCTTTTTCCTTCCTGTGTGGATCTAATGAACTTGAAGTTTCAAACTTGTAGAAGTAGGGATGGTATGTAATATTATACTTAGGCTTTAAATCAATACGTTTCCAGATTCTGGTGTTTTTTAATGGGCTACCTTAATAATTATCTGAATCAGCTATCAATTTTGTAACTAGAGAATGTGACATACCAGAGGGTAAAACGACTGACCCGGAGCCATAGAATGACAGAAGCAAGGACTTAATCTACCACGCTGAGAACAAGTCCAGAGTTCTCAACCCCTCTGGTGGCCAAAACAGGGGCAGTATTTTGAAATTTAAACCAGAAAGAAAAAAAAAAAAAGTCAGCATTTTTTAATTGTTTTAAATCCAAAAGACAAATCTACCTGCTTCTACAAAGAATAGGGAAAAGTAAGGAAGGGATCAAAGGACAGTGAATAAGTGAATGGGAAAGAGAGCAATTCAGTTGTTCTTGAATTCTGTTCTCTTAAGAGCTGTTCGGATCCCACGGAGAGCTCAGAGTTTGGAGTTTTACCTTCCATGACTGCAGGAGGAGGATGTATTTAACCTCAAAATTGGGAAGAAGAGGTTCTGCTTTACTGGGCCAGTGATACTGCATCGACCAATCACCACAGTTTCCTTGTGCATCCGCCTGGAGCCGCAGGGTGTTTCCCGCTGAACCTGAGTGTCTCCTCCTAGTCACATCAGCCCCTCAAAACCTTTCCTTCTGGGCCTTTCCCAGTAAGAAGTTCTTGGTGGAAGCTATAAAACATCAGCTCGTCCAAGCAGAACAACTCCGTGGCTGCCACCAGAGGCCAAGGCGTTTGGCAGGTAAGACTCATTAACTTTAATCTTTCCTGATTTCTACAAAGTTGATGATGAAATTTCCTAAAGCCTTCTCAGAAAGCTTGGTACTGCACTGGGACTTGTCCTCCTTGGGTGTTATCTGGCACCAGATTTGGCTGCCGCCATAGCGGTTCATCCCTATTTGGTATAAGGGAGAATGTGACTAAATCCATGGTAGAGCAAGGCAGCTTTTCTGAGTCCAAAAACAGTCACAGAATCATAAACTTTTAGGTCTGTAAGATACCAGAGACCTCTCATCCATCCTCTTTAGAAACTGAAGCCTAAGAGATAACACAGAGAGTTGGGGATGAAGAGTAACAGAATGGTGCTCTGTATGGTGTTCTTGAGACTAATGTGATATCCTGTGACATTCTAGAGGGAAAATTTTGCAGTGTTTTAAGGGTTCCCTAAGTCGGGGCTCTCAGATCTTTATCTTGTTTCTAGCATCGCAGGCCTGCTATTTCTAGCATATCTGAACACCTAGTTATCCCTGAATGTCTAGTCCCAGGTGTCTTCAATGCCCTTGTATACACCTGAATCTCAATCAGACATATGAGTTGCAGTCATATTAAATGGGGTTCACTTTGGGAGAATGGAGTGGTTGGATTTTACTGTGTTTTATGTCATCAGACGTCCCAAACCCTGTGGCTGAGGTGTGGGATTGTTTCTTCTAAAGAGATCTTGAGAATAACCTTCTCCTCACTCTTTCCCTCTTGATCCTGGAGCTGCTCAAGGAGTGATGGTGTGTTTGTTGGTTTTCCTATTGGCTCAACCCATCACCCTCAACAGAGCTCTTGTCACTCATGGAAAAGAATCCTGCTAATTCCTTCCCGTCTCATGCTTTCCTACAGCCCCTCTCAGTGACTTCTCAGCAAATCCGAAAGCCTGTCTCTGGAAGGCTTTGGTACTCAGTGTGTGGTCTGCAGACCGGCAGCATCAGCATCACCTGGGATCCTGTGGGAAGTACAGACTCCCAGGCCCCTTCTGTGACCTTCTGAGTTAGAATTTGCATTTAACAAGGTCCCCAGGTGATTAGTAGGCACATTAAGGTGTAGGCTAAGGGACCATCACCAGCCTCACCCTCTGCACCCTCCAGGTCCTAGGAGTTTCATTCATTCAGCATATGTACCTACACCTATTATGTACCAACAGTATGCTTGGGTGTGGAAAAAAATAAAAGTAAATAAGACATAGCCCTTGAGGAGCTCATGGTCTGATGGGGAAACAGACATGAAAATAGAGATACATGATATGAGTAGAGTACAGGAGGACAGGAAGGTGAATGACCTAACTTTGCCTGGAGAAGTCTGCTCACTTCACAGAGAAAGTGGCATTTGGCCTGACTGCTGAAGAATGAATAGTTCATCAGCCAGCCTGCCATTAGAGAGGCAGAGGCTATGACTCTGTCTCCAGATAATGCTTCATGTCACAGGGAAGGCTCCAGGCTTCCAAAGGACTAGGAAATAAGCATGCTTCTTCACAGAGCATGATGATAAGAATGTGGACAAATATCCAAACATCACAGAAGCCTCTGGTTGACCTCTTACACTCTGAAGCCCCAAGTCCTCCTGCCTCTGCCATGCTTGGCTCTGGCTGTAGACGGTGTCCCTCCAGGTGTTCAAAGATCCTTCAGGATCTTCTAGCACAGCTTTTTTCCCATGCAGTGGCATGAACTTGCGTTTGCTTGGGTCTGCTTTCTGCCCTATGTCCTTCCTTCACACGTACCAGGGAAGTTGGCCAAGACATGGAAAATAATTTGACTTTGGCCTCAAGGTCCCTTCCTTGCTTCCCAGTGAGGGGAGCATAAAGGGGGTCCCAAGGAAAGGAAAAGAGAAAAGAGCCCCGAGGTTGTTTCTCCCTGTTCAGATTTCTCAACTGTCATGTCTTCAGCTATGATATTTTTCTTCCTCAGTCTATCTCAGATGATGCCCTTTTTCATAGACGGACCTTCTCCTTTTTGTTTTTAATTTATTACGAGTCACTGAAAGAGTAGTGTAATGAATACTTGTGTGGCCATCAGCCGTTTTAAAAAATCAATGATATGGCTGTTGCCAGGGGCAAGGGGAAGAGGGAAAAGCAGTTGGTTTCTAGTAGGTATAGAGTTTCAGTTTTGCAAGATGACATAGTTCCAGAGATTGTTGTACAACAGCGTGAATATACTAGTCACCACTGTACTGAATGGTTGAAAATGGTTAAGATACTAAATTTTATACTATGTGTTTTTACCAGAATTAAAAAATATATATAGTACTGTTTTTTTGTTTTGTTTTGTTTTGTTTTACTCCCAAACCATCATCTTTGTGTGCCTTAAAGGACAGATTTCTGCTGGCTCAGTGGTCCCCTCAAGTCACAAAGAGAAGGACTGTGGTTCTACTTGGGGTCGTAGAAGTGTAAGACAGGATCCCAAGCCATTTGGGAACTCCTTTTGGAAAAAAATAAAAGTGCCAAGGAGAATCTTGGCCAGAAAGGTGTTTACTCATACCTTTTTTTTCTAGAGTTAGCTTACAAAAAATATACTCAACAAGATAAAAGTTGGTAGGGGAATTATAGAAGGACAGAGGGAAATATTGGGGGAGTGTTAGACCAAAATTACCTTGTCTAAATACACAGTTCTCTTCTGGGCTGGTCTAATTCAAGGGGGGTGTATCAGTGGGTGTCCAGGAGACCAGCGGGGTGGCCCCTCAGGCAAGTTTCCCTTAGGGAAGCCACAGTTTCCCTTAGGGAGCTTCAAGCAACTATGGAGGGGGCAGCCAATCTGAGATGCTCTCCCTGGTATGTTTCTGGAGTCCAACCAGGGAATGCACACGGAGGGGAGAACCCATGCTCACCTGTGAAACTGAAGAGGCCTGCCAGTATGGTCTAAACACGGCATCATTCCATTTGCATGCCGTGGACTCTTCCCCGGGCTGGAGCTAGAATCTCCTCGAAAGATATTTTGGTTCTATTCCACCAAACCTCATGAACACTCTGCGTAAGCCCCAGAGCCCCTCATCAGCAAACAAGGCTGCGTGAATTTTAGTCTGATGACTCAGGTTCAGGGTTAAAGCTTATAATGGAGGGGTTAATCTAAGAGCTGGAGTCTCTCCAGGCAGCCTGGGACAAGCTATGAGCTTGGGTAAGCCCTGAGCTTTGTTATGACTTCCATTCCTGTGCTCCCAATTTAATAATTGGCTCTTCAAGGAAAGGGGCAGCCCCTGCTGATTTCAGAAGGGAGGAGCTGAGTGCCTGCTTCTCAGTCACACTTCCCTGATGCAATACATCCTCGAGGGAGGGAGGGAGGGGAACTCCAAAGCCCTGCTCCAGGTTTGGTAACAGCATGTCTCACACCTGTGATGGACAGGCACAGGATCTCGGATCACAGGCTGTTAGGGCAGAATCAGACATCCTGGGTCACTTGGTCTCGCTCCCTCACTTGGCAGGCCAGGGGCCCAGAGATGTCAGGTAGCCTGCCCGATGTCACAGAGCTAGTCATAGCAAATGCAGAAGTACAACTCAGGATGTCCTGACCCCGAAGCCCGAGTTCTTTCCCTTCCAGTACTGCCTCTTCCCACGTGTGCCAGTACCTGGCATGGATCTCACAGACGGTAGATGCTGAGTTAGTCTCCCCTTCTCTACTCCAGTGTGAGGGCATCTGCTGGTCCCTGGGCCTTCTCTGCTTTACCATCCCCTTTCTGTGACTCAATCCCTCCTGTGAGAGCACAGCAAGCTCACATATGATCCTGGGTCTCATTTCAGCAATGCGGGTCCTTCTCCATCTCCCAGCCCTTCTAGCCTCCCTGACGTTGCTCCAGACTGCAGCGCCAGCTGCAAATGGTAAGTGTCTCCCTGTATGGGTTTCTTGGGGCTGCTGAAACGAAGGACCACAAACTGGGTGGCATAAGACAACAGAAATTTAGGGGCACCTGGGTGGCTCAGTTGGTTAAGTGGCTGACTCTTGATTTTGGCTCAGGTCACGATCTCGGGGTACTGGTATTGAGCCCTCCATCAGGATCCACGCTCAATGGGGAGTCTGCTTCAGGATTTTCTCTCCCTCTCTCTTTGCCCGTCCCCCCACCTCTGGAATAAATCAATCAATCTTAAAAAAAAAAAAAAAGACAACAGAAATTTATTTTCCTACAGTCCGTGAGATTAGAAATCCAAAAATCAAGGTGCCAGCAGAGTCCCGTTCCTCTGAAGGATCTAGAGGAGAATCCTTCCTTCCTTCTTCTTAGCTTCTGGTGGCTCCAACAAGTCTTGGTACTCCTTGGCCTAGAGCTGCAGCAGTCCAGTCTCTGTCCCTGTCTTCCCACACCTATGTGAATCCTGTGTGCACTCTCCTCTTACCGTAATACCACCAGTCATTGGATTTAGAGCCTACCCTAATCCTGTATCTTTATGACTTCAACCGAATTCATTACATCTGCAAAGACCTTATTTCCAAATAGGGTCATATTCTGAGGTTCTGGCTGAACTTGTATTTTTGGGGGACACCATTTAACTCACTAGACTTCCCTGTTCAGAGAATGCATCCTGCCTCCCGTGCATTAGATGGCAATACAAGTGAAAACAAGAAGAAATCCTTCCTCTACCCTGTGCCATCCCCTTCTGTACCTCAGGGCCCTGATCAGCCAAGCCCTTTGATGAACTCGCTTAAGCATCTATCTTACCAAGAACCAGAAAAATCCCCACAGCCCAGTAGCCCGAGCCAACCTGAATGGTCACCCACCTTAGTCCCATCTCTGGGTATTCTAGTGGACTCCCGAAGAGCGACTTTGACATCTTAGCGAGGCCCAGAGAATATCCATCCCATTCTGTGTTTTTTCTCTTTAAGGATTCTTGTGAATGTTTCCTAATCTTGGTCTTCTGCATGCTCAGATTTGAGGGGTGGGGGTAATGGCTGAGAAAGAGGGAGACAGAAGCAGAGGGTATCTCAAAGGAATGGTGTCAGATACTTGGCTCTTTGCCCCTCCCTCTCCAAGCACGGACCACCACGACTGCTGCCATCTCTGATGCCGTGAGTCAGGTCAAGGTCCAAGTCAACAAGGCCTTTCTGGAATCCCGGACCAGGTATGTGAGATGCACACACAGCCTACCTCCCTTTCCTGGCTTCCGACTAATGACCAGCGCCTCAGGGCCAGCCCTGACAAGCCTGAGCAAAGCCTTTTACAAGCTGTGCTACCCTCACCCCACCTCCTTGGCCTGTAGTGTGTGCCAAGTGGGAGTAATAGCCCACTAGAGTCTTAAAATTCTCAGCCCATAAACCACCTTGAAGAGGATGTCTAATCTCACCCCGTAAGGACTTTCTTCCGGGTGGCCCAGTGTTTCCTTGGGTCCTGCATTCCAGAGTCTCAGCAAGCTTGTAGGTAGCATTTCTCCGTTCATTCAACTAACATTGACTAACTTAAGTCCGGTTCCCTGGGAGCAGAATTTGACACGTGGGTTCCTACGCAGGCAGTCTTACTAAGGCATGCTCTCAGGAAAGCTGTGAATGGAGTGAGGGGGCGAGCTGGGGAGGTCAAAGGAGGAAGTTAAGCAAGGACTGGCTCAGTAATCACACCAGACGGGTTCAGGTGTGAGCCTTCAGCAGCTGCACCGGGGGTGGCTAGGGTCACATCACCCCAACCCCATAAGAAGACCCGAGGGTGCCTGGGGACCCCACGGGGTACCAGCAGAGTGAGCCACCCTCCAACCACACGTGGGGCTGGGATCTCCGAAACAAGCTGTGCGGGCTGGGTCCCTGCCCTCACCAAGCCCAGCCAGCTAAAGGCGGACCAACAATAACCATTGTGTTGAGCAGAAGGCAACCTTATTCCTTCCTCTTGCTGTCCCTTTGCACTGGAATTGGGGCTTCCTTCCTTCTTGGCCTTTGAATGAACTCTTAAGCAGTCCCATAAATGTTCTGACTTTTATTTGACCCAGAGAGAGAGAGAGATCACAAGTAGGCAGAGAGGCAGGCAGAGAGAGGGGGCAGCAGGCTCCCTGCTGAACAGAGAGCCCAATTCGGGGCTCGATCCCAGGACCCCGACATCATGACCTGAGCTGAAGGCAGAGGCTTAACCCACTGAGCCACCCAGGCACCCACTGTTCTGCTGACTTTTAGATGACAATACGTGCTGTCGTCACTTCTAGTCCCAAGAACAGTGTCCCTTCAGGAGTTCCTACATCAGCATAAGGAGAAAAAATCCAGAGCATCTCACCTCCCTCAGCTCGGGGCTGCATTAGGCTTAGAGTGAGAAAGGGAGCACAGTCTGTGGATCCCTCTCTTTCCTGGGCTCCTCCCTCTCCCCCAGCACAAGTTTCTGACTCCTTAGGGTTACGCTGGGGAAGGGGGAGAGACACCAGAGGTCAAGGTCTAAGTCACCTCACAGCGTAGTGCCTTGAGGAAGTCAGAGGCTCTTCCCCACCTGGGGCACTTGTCAGCTCTCTGGGAGATTCTGCTGCCAGCTCCTTGACCCAGAGAAGTCTCTGGCCAGTAGCCTACAGCTCCAACCCTCAAGCCAGAAGCATCTGGCTCAGCTCTCACCTCCCTGCCCCCTCATGAGCCAGGTCCCTTTTAAGCAGGCTCTAGAAGACAAAAGGCTTTGCCCCGTGGCCAGAGGCTGTGTGGCCCAGGGCTTCCCTGTCTGGCTCACGCTCTCTCTCTCTCAGGTGCATAGTGACAGCCACCACCCCGTCGGGCTCTTTGGGCAGGTGCCAACCACTGGCCATGACTCTAGGACACACCATCAGGCCCTCCTCCTGAGGTCCTTGTCACCAGAATTAAAGCACAGGGGGAAGCCCCAGGTTGGCAGCAGGGAAGTGCCTGGGACTTCAGCAGCCACCTCCAAAGGAACATTCTCTCCCTGCTTAGCTTCAACCCTTCTATCGCCCCAAGGTGGGGCTAGAGTAAAACCCACAACATCAGAGTTCCTCCCTTCCTTTGCAAGTTGTGCACAGGACTACTGGCCCGGCTTTGGGACTCATCCCCACTGGTTAGTTCTTGGACTCAGGGGCCTCATGGAGACATAAAGGATCATACAGAAACCTCTCCTGACACGAACACAAACAATCCGAGTCATGATTTGTGAAAAGGACCAGGGAAATACACAGAGCAAAGGTTGCTGCTGGAGGTCAGGGACCAGGGAAGCCTGACAAGGATGAGAAGCAGCTAGCCATGTAGAGAGCTGGGCGGGGGAGAGCATCCCAGGTCTGGGAGGGACAAAGGCAAAGGTGCTAAGGCAGGAAAGAGTTTTCAGGGGCTAAGAGGGCCAGTGCTGGTGGAGGTGGTAATCTACCGGTGAGAGAGAGAGGTGGGTCCTGAGGGCCAGGGAGTCAGAAAGCAGATTAGTGGTTGCTGGGGGAGGGGGCGGTGAGGAAGGGGGAGCAGGGGAGGAACGGGAAGTGACTGCTTAATGGGTACAGCGTCTCTTTTGGGGATGATGAAGATGTTCTGCAACGTTAGGAGCACTGTGCAGTGAGCAAATGGATTCATCCATGTCCCAGGATAAGCCGATGAAGGACTTTGCCATGCAGAGTGACATGGTCTATTTTCCTTCTAAAAAGTTCCCTGCTGCAGCTGTGTGGGGAATGGACAGGAGACAAGGAGAGGGATGGGAGCAGGGGCAGCGGTACGGTCAGGAGGCTGCTGCAGCCGTCTAGATGGGAGGGGATGGTGGCTAGGGTGAGGGTGCAGGCCTGGAGATGGATAGAATTCTCCCCACACCCTGACTGCTCCCTCGGAGCCCAGGCCAGAGCCAAGTAGGAGGTAAGTGCCCTGGGGTTCAGCCTTCAGGCAGGAGAGCCACACACAGCTCAGGGCAGAGGAAGCGCGAAGGAGCACGGAGAACCTTGCGTGGGACCCTCCAGGCAGAACCCTACAAGGCTCAGCAGCCCACCTTGTTTCTGGGGTGGGGGGGTCCCTTTGGGTCCTGGCTCATGAGGATGGTAGCACTGATGCTAACATACATGAGGGTTTCTTCTATGCCAGCTTTACGCTCCCTCCTCCCCACAACCCTATGCAGTGCTAACTCAACCGATGTCAAGTAGCTTGTTGTTGAGGGCAAAATGATCAAATAGCACGGTTCAACCTAAGGTTACTGTCATTATCCTCATTTAGGGATAAGGAAGCTGGGTACAGAGAGGTTGAGTAACTTACCCAGAGGCACACAGCTAGAAAGTGACAGGCATCAAAACAGAGTCAAAACAGCCAAACATTCAAATCTTGTTTCCTAAGCTCAAACTCTAGGCCAGGGCTGGTCGCTAGAACTTTCTGTGATGATGCAATGTTCTATATCTGGGACATCCAGTATACGAGCCACTAACCACACATGGCTACTAAGCACTTAAAATGTGGCTAGTGGGGGCACCTGGGTGGCTCAGTGGGTTAAAGCCTCTGCCTTCGGCTGGGGTCATGATCCCAGGGTCCTGGGATCGGGCCCCGCATCGGGCTCTCTGCTCAGCAGGGAGCCTGCTTCCTCCTCTCTCTCTGCCTGCCTCTCTGCCTCCTTGTGATCTCTGTCTGTCAAATAAATAAATAAATATTTTTTTTTAAATGTGGCTAGTGCCAGGGAGGAGCTGAATTCAACTTGATTTTGATGAAGTTCCATTTAAATAGCCACACATGGCTGGCAGTTACCATGTCGGACAGGGCAGCACTCTGGGCTACTGGGCCATGCTGTCTCTGCGACAGCAGCCACAAGACAGCCTCATTTCTTTTCCTGGGTCCTATTTTATTGAGGTTGGGGGAAGCTGGTCAGGGGTAGGCCTGCTGATGAGAGCCCAGTTATCACAGCTGTCCTTGTGCCTGTCCCGCTAGCCCAGGAAGTCCCTCAGCGGAGACACCATGCCCCTCACTCTTGAAATAGCTAAGAACCTGATGAGTGACAGCCCAGGTATTGGAGCTAGTGAGCCATCCCCCAAAAGCAGAGCTGTCTTTTGGAGAATGTGAGCCACTTCCAAGATTTCAGTCTCAGAGCCACAGACATCCTCTCATAGAACCCTTCCTCTCCCACCTGAGGAGACTGAGGCACAGGGAAGGGGTGGTGGATTCTCACGGAGGGACTTTTCTGACCCCCACCTTGCGCTCAGTCATCTCTGTGTTGTCATGAATTTCTTAGGAGCAGGGATGTGGGCTTCTCATTTTACACATGGGAAATTAAGAATAAAAGACTGAACATCTTGCCCCAAAAATGGTCCACAAAAAGCAGGGTGCTACAGCCCACATCTAAACAAACTCCACTCGTACTCTAGGGCCACATGGAACTGGGGGTGTTTCCACGGGAAGAACTACAGGCCCACAGGTTTGCTCGTTCTAGAATTCTCCGTCCGCACAGCTACATGGCAGGAGTTCCTCAGTCTGAACCCGTACATCGTGGGTTTGGGTGTTTTTAAGTTTCCCTCAATTGATTCTGACCCGGCCAGTACAGCTACAGCCCTCTGATTCTCATTCAGGAAGCGCTCAGCTCCAGCTCTCTGCCCTTTCTCAGAACCAGACACACTGTAGCTTCCTCCTCCCAGAAGAGATTTTCCAGAGGCATCCAAAGGAAAATGAGAAAAGAACTCAGGGAGTGCTTGTCTCCTGCATGCTGCCCACACCCCCACACGTCCCCTCACGCCCCTTCTACAGGATCTGACTCGAGCAGTCCGGTCATGACTCTCCCATTGCTCTCTGCTGTAGGCTGAAGATGGCCATGAGCTCCGAGGCACCCACCACTCGACAGCTCTCCGAGTACTTCAAGCATGCCAAAGGCCGGGCACGCACAGCCATCCGCATTGGGCAGGTGTGGGAGGAGTCCTTAAAGAAACTGAGGCAGAGAGCGGCCTTGACCAATGCCACAGGTACAGAAAACCCACTAACCCTCTAATGGCAGTAAGGGGCCATCCCTCTGTAGGAGAGAACAGAAGCCACCAAAACCTGCATTCTCTCTTAGGAGCACCTCCAAGGAGGGTCCCTCCCAGCTCTCCCTTCTCAGAGTCATGGACCTGCAGAGCAAGGAGGGACAGAGAAGACAGCTATGTCAGTGTGGGGTGTGTTTTGCAGAGAAAGGAGCCCAGGCCCAGCACGGTCACATTGCCAACTCCAAATGAGGGGACATTCACGCACTTTGTATAATGCCATCTGTAAGCCTCCGTCCAGAGGAAGTTCTAAAGTCAATAAACATGGGCTCCCTGTCCCAAACCACAGTGCCACCACTACGGCCTGTGAAGGAGACATTTAAGCCACCTGATCAGGGGGATTTACTGGGATTATGTCACAGGAGATGAGATTTCCCTCTTGTTTGGGGTAAGGTGTAGCTGAAACAATGAGGTAATGGATTGATCGTGACCTCCTCCAACCCTTCACCCCGCCTCCCCCCACCCCACCCCACCAAATGTCACAGTTCCTGGAGGGTCATGGAGGAAGGGGTTTGGTCCCAACCGGAGGAAGAGGCTGTAGGTTCTCCCTGAGAAAACATCAAGTGCGGGAAGATAACTGGCCTAGGACTTAGGCAAATTCCAAAGTTCCAAAAGAAGGAAATTGGGACAACATGGGGAGAAGTAACAATCACTTTGAAACTCTGAGACTCCAAAGGAGGGGCAGGTTGAACCCCAGCCCTTGCCACCCTTCACAGATGGTCCCCTGATGAAGCCCCCACAGAACCAGGTTCCCTTGCCTCCCTTCCACCCAGGCACCCGGGTGCCTCTCAGGCTGCATTAGGTTAGCAGTTCCCTCCGATCTGCACCTTGGATGCCTGAAGCCCCCCCACCATGTTACTCCTTCCAAGACCACCGTGCTTCTTACTTGAAAATTCCCTGTCCCTTCCCAACATCTTCCTCATCTAGATTCCTGCTTGCTTGGTACTTCAGATGTCAGTGAAGCTCTAGAAGAAAAGCAGTCTTTTTTTGTTTTTGTTTTTAGGTATTGCAGTTATTTATTTATTTATTTATTTATTAACATATAATGTATTATTAGCCCCAGGGGTACAGGTCTGTGAATCGCCAGGTTTACACAATTCACAGCACTCTCCATAGCACATACCCTCCCCAATGTCCATAACCCAACCCCCCTCTCCCTACCTCCCTCCCCCCAGCAACCCTCAGTTTGTTTTGTGAGATTGAGTCTCTTATGGTTTGTCTCCCTCCTGATCCCATCTTGTTTCATTTATTCCTTTCCTACCCCCCAAACCCCCCACGTTGCCTCTCAACTTCCTCCAATCAGGGAGATTGTATGATAATTGTCTTTCTCTGATTGACTTATTTTGCTCAGCATGATACCCTGTAGTTCCATCCACTGTCTTCGCAAATGGCAAGTTTTCATTTCCTTTGATGGCTGCATAGTATTCCATTGTGTATATATACCACATCTTCTTTATCCATTCATCTGTTGATGGACATCTTGGTTCTTTCATAGTCTGGCTATTGTGGACATTGCTGCTATAAACATTCCAGTGCACATGCCCTTTCGGATCACTGCATTTGTATCTTTAGGGTAAATATCCAGTAGTGCGATTGCTGGGTCATAGGGTAGCTCTATTTTCAACTTTTTGAGGAACCTCCATGCTGTTTTCCAGAGTGGCTGCACCCGCTTGCGTTCGCACCAACAGTGTAGGAGGGATCCCCTTTAGAAGAAAAGCAGTCTTACCAAACTAATTCAGACTAATGGTGCTCTACCTCTCAGGGGCATTTTCATTCTAAAAGAAAGGTCTGTTGATTCAAAGGACCTGATAAAAACAAAGAATCATTAACAATTCTGGGAACTTTCACAATTACGATCTGTTTGGCCTCGGGAAAGACTCTTCAGCACTGTGATCTCAGTTTCTTATCTGCAAAATGGGAATTAAAATTCTACTTTAGCGAGTTGTCAGGACTGAACCAGAAACCACCCAAGAATTACTTCCCTAGAACACAGACTGTATTCCAAGAAATGTGAGTTGACCTCTGGTTTCAGTGTCCTGCCTTCCCCCAGTGCCCCAGAATGGACAAAGAACTCAGCAGCTTTGGCGCCCCTTCTGTTTCAGACCCCAGTCTGGACTTGACTGCACTGTCTTGGGAGGTGGGCTGTGACGTCCCTGTTCCGGTGGTGCAATGTGACGAGGACAGTCCTTACCGAACCATTACAGGAGACTGTAATAACAGGTGAGCGGGCATGGGCCGGGGTGGGGGGCGGCCCCTCCCAATGGCCATGCCCAGAGCACCCGCTCCACCCCGCCCGCCTGCCCTGCCCAACCCAGCCGGGGCCTTGGCGGCTGGGGCGTTCCGGGCAGAACCCCCTCTACCTTACCCTCCTGGGCTTGCGGCCCACCGGAAACAGTTCTGTTGGAACCCTCCCGACCTTCCCGTCTTCTAAAAGGAGACAGCTGCATCCCACCGGCAGCGCAGCCCCGCGCCCTCAGGGTGGACTAGCTTCTCAAACCCCACATGTCAGAGGCGTCTCCTCCGCGCCCCCTTTCCCGCGGGCGGAGGCTCCCGCCGCTCCCCCACAGGTCCCCACGGGCTGAGCGCAGGTCTTGGTCGCTTTCAGGAGGAACCCCAAGCTGGGCGCCGCCAACAGGGCGCTGGCGCGCTGGCTGCCGGCCGAGTACGAGGACGGGCTCTCCCAGCCCTTCGGGTGGACGCCGGGCAGGACGCGGAACGGCTTCCCCGTCCCGCTGGTGAGGGCGGGCCCGGGGTGGGCGCGAGCCCCGAGCGGGAGGGGGCGGGAGGGCAGTCAGAGGGGAGGGGATGCGCCCCCAAACACACGCGGGATGCCAGAAGAAAGAGGTGGGAGGGTAGAGGGTGCGAGGCGGAGCCGCGGCGGCGGAGATGAATGTTTGGACGGGCTCCCCGGCGGTGTTCCCCAAAGTGCCACGAGAGGGCAGCAGAGCCCGGGGCCCAGCCACGCGGTGGTCGCGGCCCGTCGGCCCCACAGGCCAGATGCCCTGGGGTGTCCCAGGCAGATGGCCTCCCAGCCCCATCCTGCCTGCGCTTACCCCGCCCCCGCCCCTAGGGTGCATCAGCTGTTGTTTGCCTGGAAGTCCTATCTGTTGGCCTCATCTGAGTTGGCAGTCCCTCCCCAGAGCCCCTCTCCTATTGCCAGACACCTGGCACCTCAGTGACACTGACGGCAGGAGCCTTTGTTTTCCCCTTCCCTCGTGGAAAGGGCATTGGCCTTGCAAGCCATCAAGTCACACAGACCCGTGCACAGTCCTGTCCCCACCCCTTCGTAGCTGCAGGACTGCTGGGGATTGGCCTGGCCTTTCCAGGACTGGGTGCCGTCCCCTATAGGACAAGTATAATGCCACCCACTTTGCAAACTTGCTGTGGGGATGGAAGGTACACAGTACACAGGTACACACTGTTGCACCCGAGGTACACAATAAACCGCAGCTGAGTTGGACCCCTCAAAGCTCTTCCTCCTCCAATCCTTCCTGCCCTTCTCTCTCCGTCCGCAGGCCCGAGACGTATCCAACCAGATTGTAGACTACCTGAATGAGGAGGGTGTTCTGGACCAAAACAGATCCTTGCTCTTCATGCAGTGGGGTCAAATCGTGGACCATGACCTGGACTTTGCCCCCGACACCGAGCTGGGGAGCAGCGAGTACTCCAAAGCCCAGTGTGACAAGTACTGTATCCAGAGAGACAACTGCTTCCCCATCATGGTAGGCCCCTACAGCTGTCAATGACAAGTCTCTCGCCTCCCTGACCACAGGGCAGACGTTCCCAGCTGGTCAGCCAGGGGCTCAGGATAGATCCCAAATGCTGATCTGATGGCTTCCCAAACCTCACACGTCCGTTCATTCACCCTTCCATTTATTCCATGAATAGACATTATATTACCGACTCCATGCCAGGCAGTGCACTAAGCGCTGGGGAATCAAACACTGCTCCTTTCCTCAAAGACTGAGACCTGTGTGGGAAATGGGCAAGTAACCGCTAGTGGCAGAATTGGGGGAGCTCTGGGGAGGGTCGTCTCCATGCCTGGCCTGGAAGCAGTGGCATCACTTAGGGACTTACTAGGGATATTAAAGCTCAAGCTTCCTCCCAGACGGGGAGAAACAAAGTCTACATTATACCAGGATCCCCGGGAGATGCTTTTGATACACAGTTCATTTGGTAGAACATCGCTGTAAGTCACCGTGGGGTTTGGGAGGGCTGCTCCCAGAAAGAGCTGCGATCGGATGGGTGAATCCGAGCCAGGGCCGGGATTCGTGGGGCTTTCCAGCAGGAAGAGAGAGGAACTTGCCATGGTGCCCCATTTTCTTCTTATTTGTGATTTTACAGTTGAAGAGTGATTTATTCACTCAAACAAATCAAGGCTATATGCTGTGATATAAAGAACATGAGCTGTGGACTGAGGTCAATCTGGATCTGAATCCCATATATCCCTTCCGGTTTCTAAGTTCCTAGGCAAATTACTTAACATTTCTGAGCCTCAATTTTCTCACCTGTAAAATGGGACTGAATTATCTACCTTACCTTTTTTGAGGACCGAAGTGAGAAAAGGTATGCATTATGCATAGCACATGTTAGATCCAAAATAAATAAATGGTAGCTGTTGTTGGTAATAATTAGTAACAGAGCCTTTCCTGGGCCATGTCTTGCTTCCCTGTCCAGGGATCTCAAGACTCCCTCCCCACCAAAAATGTGGAACCTTTGCTATGAAAGATTGAATGATCCCTCTCAGCCTATCTTACATGGTGGGAATGTAAAGAACTTCAGGGCATTGTGGCCTAGGAGGTACAATGTCAGTAGGAGGTTTCTGGAGCCAGTGTCCGGTCCCACGGTCCCAGGAGGGCTCCGTCAGCATCTTTGCCAGCCGCATCCAGACCTGCCCTGAGGGGAGGTTATCAGTTCCCAGCTGTGCCAGCTCTGCCCAGTCACCTATCCCAATCTCTCCACAGTTCCCTCCCAATGACCCCAAGCTGAAGACTCAAGGCAAATGCATGCCTTTCTTCCGAGCTGGGTTCGTCTGCCCGACTCCACCTTACCAGTCCCTGGCTCGAGATCAGATCAACGCTCTGACCTCCTTCCTGGACGCCAGCTTGGTATACGGCCCCGAACCCAGCCTGGCCAGGCGCCTTCGCAACCTCAGCAGCCCACTGGGCCTCATGGCTGTGAACCAGGAGTTCTGTGACCACGGGCTGGCTTACCTGCCGTTCGACGTCAAGAAGCCAAGCCCCTGCGAGTTCATCAATACCACCGCCCGAGTGCCTTGCTTCCTGGCAGGTGAGTCTAGGCTGGGAACAGAGGGACCCAAGGACTGGGAGCAGAGAGAGACCAAAAGAAGCTTCAGGAGGCTGCTAGGCGCTTCCAAAGAGGCTTTGCCACTGCCTGGCAAATACTGCAATTTTATTAACTGTAAAGAAATTTCTTTATTAGAAGCTGTTGTTTTATAGTAAATGCTTTGTGGAACTAGTTTTAGAGCTCTGTTGTTCTGATGTCTTATTACCTGTGCTCTTATTACCTGTTCTGATGTCTTATTACCTGTGCCTTCTGGAAAAAAATGCACACCAAGTCCCCACCGCCTCTGGCTCTGGTTCAGGCCCAGATGAAAACAAATCTAAGAACATGTGTTCACTATGAAAAAAAAAAAAATCAGTTCAGAGAAGCACAAATAAGAAAATCCACAAAACCCCAGCACCCACCAATAATGATTGTTAACATTTTTAGTGCCCATCTTTCCAGAGTTTTTTTAAAAAATCATAGGTAGAGTTCTATACTGTTTTTATATAGTTGGGGTTATACAATCAGTTATGTTCTATAACCTGATATCTTCATGTAATATATCACATTATTAGTCATTCTTCTACAACTTGATTTTTACTGGCTGCCTGGTATTCCGTGACATATAATTTATTTTATCAATCCTACTTGGAAGCATTTAAATAATTCTAGATTTTCTGTGATTTATTGCTGTTTTTTAGGTCATGAACATCCTTGTTGATGAGTCTTTGTACTCATTTTTAAAATTTTTTTATTTTTGGGGCACCTGGGTGGCTCAGTGGGTTAAACCTCTGCCTTCAGCTCAGGTCATGATCTCAGGGTCCTGGGATCGAGCCCCGCATCGGGCTCTCTGCTCAGCAGGGAGCCTGCTTCCTCCTCTCTCTCTGCCTGCCTCTCTGCCTGCTTGTGATCTCTCTCTGTCAAATAAATAAATAAAATCCTAAAAAAAAATTTTTTTAATTTTTTTATTTTTACTTTTTTGAAGATTTTATTTATTTATTAGAGAGAGACAGAGCACAAGTGGAGGAAAGGGACAAAGGGAGAAGCAGACTCCCTGCTGAGCAGGAAGCCCCATGTGGGGCTCGATCCCAGGACCCTGGGATCATGATCTGAGCTGAAGGCAGATGCTTAACCGACTGAGCCACCCAGGTGCCCCTCGTTTTTAATAATTTTACTAAGATAACTTGCTAGAGGAGGAGTTTCTAGATTAAGAGGAATGCCTGTTTTTTTAAAAATATTTTATTTATTTGACAGAGAGACACAGTGAGAGAGGGAACACAAGCAGGGGGAGTGGGAGAGGAAGAAGCAGGCTTCCTGCTGAGCAGGGAGCGTGATGCGGGGTTCAATCCCAGGACCCTGGGATCATGACCTGAGCCGAAGGCAGACACTTAACGACTGAGCCACCCAGGCGCCCCAGGAATGCCTATTTTTAAGGCTTTTTATAAACTCAACACAAAGTCCCCACTCTATACAACCTGCGCACAACCAAAGCCCTCCAATTCTGTTCATTCTGGGGGCTCATGCCCTCCTGATATGCCCTCAGACCCTCTGCCTTGGGCTTCTAGAGACCTTTCCTCTTCCAAAAATCCACTCTGCAGGACAAACCCCCTGCCCACCCAGACAGACATGGCAGAAAGCCAGTCCATAGGCCCAGATCTCTTGGGTAGACCTCTTGGATTCCATGTTCACACATATCTCACATCAATGCAGATACAAAACCGAACCCTTTGCTGTTTTCCATAAAAATACCCGTGCAGACCAGGCATTTGTGAGTTTAGTAGACTTTTCCTGAAGATTAGAGGACACAAAATGTCCCCTTGTGAAACCCCTGCTCTTCTGCCAGTTAACTAAGTCCCCGCCCCCATTCCTCCCTTCTTTCCTTTCTCCCAAAGGCTCCCACCTCTAGATTCTTCTCCCGTTATTGCATGGAGAAATTCGACCCTACCCATGCTCCTGGCCTCAAACTGGCATTCCTAAAACTTCTGAAGTTGCTCCACCAAAAAGCCTCTGTTAATTTGTACTGCCCAATTTTAGAGGGCAGTTGGGATTGTAATCAGCAAAATTTTCCTTTTTAATGTCATCTGTAGTTTTTAGCACACTCTTGTGCGGTCAGCGTTATCCCCATTCTCCAAGAGACTGAGCCTTGGAAGTGCTCAGTAACTTGTCCAAAGTGACTAGCTAAGAATTGTGAGTGTGAAGCTGAGATTCAAACCTGTGACTCCCTGCCCTGATCCCTTTCCACTTGACTTCCCTTAGGTTAACTAGAAGGAGGGGCTTAGGAGAAGGGCCCTTGGGGGCACTATCATCTATTTCTTTGCGCAGATTACTGGGTTCTGGGGCTGCTCTGGGGAAACTAACTTTCCTGCCTTCTGGGCTTTCAGGAGATTCCCGAGCCTCCGAGCAGATCTTGCTGGCCACTTCCCACACCCTCTTTCTCCGAGAGCACAACCGGCTGGCAATTGAGCTAAAGAGACTCAACCCTCACTGGGATGGAGAGAAGGTCTACCAGGAAGCCCGGAAGATACTGGGAGCCTTCGTGCAGGTACAGAAGTCCAGGAGCCCTGCCTCCCACGCCCACCTGGCTTCCACCCCTGGCTCTGCCACCTTCTCTGTTTCCCCCACCTCCGCTTCCCCTTCTCCCCCTCTGTTTCTTCTTTCCCACTGTCTCATGCTTCTCACCCTCCCTTTCATTTCTTTAGCATCTTTGCCCCAAAATAAATTCTGGATTCAGAGTGTCCGAGAGTCATTTGTATGTTGGTCACTCTGGTGTCACCCCTGGGACCAAAATCTCTGTCACGCCTGGGACTGTTGAACAGCAGCTAGGCAGGCTGTTTCAGCTGGATGCCCTTCTTCTAAATTCTCCACATCCAAGCCAGAGGTCACAGGCATCGTCCAATGCTATAGGCTATTGGCTGATTGACTAGCTAGAATTAACTGGGCACATATTTAAGCATTTTTTTTAAAGATTTTATTTATTTATTTCACAGAGAGAGATCACAAGTAGGCAGAGAGGCAGGCAGAGAGAGAGAGAGAGGAGGAAGCAGGTTCTCTGCTGAGCAGAGAGCCTGACGTGGGACTCGATCCCAGGACCCTGAGATCATGACCTGAGCCGAAGGCAGAGACTTAACCCACCGAGCCACCCAGGTGCCCCTTTAAGCATTTTTTAAAAATAAGTACAGATTCTTAGGAAGTTGTAAACAAGCAGCACATGCACGCAGCCTCCCCCAGTGCTAATGTTTTGCATGACCGTGGTACAACATCAAAAGCAGGACATTGGGGCACCTGGGTGGCTCAGTGGGTTAAGCCTCTGCCTTCGGCTCAGGTCATGATTCCGGGGTCCTGGGATCGAGCCCTGCATCGGGCTCTCTGCTCAGCAAGGAGCCTGCTCCCCCCTCTTTCTCTGCCTGCCTCTCTGCCTACTTGGGATCTCTCTGTCAAATAAATAAATAAAAAGGAAAAAAAAAAAACCCAGGACATTAACATTGACAAAAACCAAAGGTCTTATTCTGATTTCACCAGTTAGAAATGCAGTCGTGTGTGTACGTGTGTGTGTGTGTGTGTGTGTGTGTGTGTGTGTCTGCAACTTTATCACATGGGTAGTCTCAGGGAATCACCCCCACAATAAAGAAACTTCACTCTGCCATCACCACAAGACTCCCGCCTGCTACCCTCTGAGACCCGCACCCACCCACCCCCTTCCAGGTCCCTATCCGCAGGTGATCACCAGTCTGCCCTCTGTACAGTTACGTTGTCTCGAGAACAGTCTGTATCCTTTTGAGATCAGCTCTTTCCATTCAGCGTAATGCCTCTGAGGTCCACTGGGATTGTTGCAGGTATAAAGTCCCTTCCTTTCTGCTGCTGAGTAGTGTTCCATGGTTGACTTAACCATCTACCCACTGAAGGACATTAGAATGGTTTCCAGTTTGGGGCTATCATGAATGATGCCGCTGTGAACCGTCCAGGACAGCGGCACCCAAAACTCTAAATTTCTGAGAGCGAGAATCTGACTAACCAGTTTGGTCTGACGCCACAGCTGGACCAGTCCTCTACGGACAGAGGAAAGTTTCTGTCCCTCACTACCTCGCAGAGTCTGAGAAGCAGCTGCCTGCTCCAAGGATGAAATCCCTACAACTTTTGCTGATGAACAAATTGGAAGCAACCTAAAATTAAAACGAAAAGAAAAGGATCCGTGAATGCAAGAGAATTTTATGCAGGTTGAATTACATAATGGTGAGCTAGGTAGAAACATGAGAAGCTTGAAATGAAAAAGCAGAAAGTAAAAGTATGTATTCTCTAGGAGCACAAGTGTGTAAAAATATGCATCGTATAGACAAAGATTAGAAAAAAGAAAAAATAGAATTATTGCATTATGTGGTGTCATGATTTTCTCTTTTTTCTCTGTTTGTGTTAGCTCATTGCTTTGAGTAAAACAAGCCCCCAAATTGCTTCTCCACAGCGCACCATTTGTCTCAGAATTGGAGATGAGGTGAACTCATTGTGAACCATTCCTGTGGTTCATCATTCCTTTCGCTCTGGCCCTACGGGGAAAAGTTGGATGATGTGGCATCATTATGTTCAAGTGACACACGAGGACTGTCACTTTAGCTTCAAGGCCGTAGACCTGGAGCAGAGGTGACAAAGAGAGTACATGTCTAGTGCTAACTCAAAGGACTGATCAGTAGGGCCCATGTTTCGAGGCAGACGATGAGCGACCAGCAGAAAGAATGTCATGATCAGTTAGCAACTGTCTACCACGGTCACAGGAAGGGAAATGGGCACTTTTGCTTTCCATTTGCCCTCCTAGATTTTTGGCCACTTGTCCCTCTTGATGCAGCTTCCTCCAACCTCACTCTGCAGAGGTCTCCGCATTCTCCCACCCTTGGCTCATGATGTTTCTCCCCCTGCAGATTATCACCTTTAGGGACTACCTACCCATTGTGCTCGGTGAGGAGATGCAGAAGTGGATCCCCCCATACCAAGGCTATAACAAATGTGCCGACCCCCGAATTTCCAACGTCTTCACGTTTGCCTTCCGCTTTGGCCACTTGGAGGTCCCCTCGACTGTGTCCCGTCTGGATGAGAACTATCAGCCGTGGGGTCCAGAGGCAGAGCTCCCCCTGCACACCCTCTTCTTCAACACCTGGAGGATAGTCAAAGATGGTATGTCTGGGGCGCCTGGGTGGCTCAGTGGGTTAAATAAAGCCTCTGCCTTCAGCTCCGGTCCTAATCTCAGGGTCCTGGGATTGAGCCCTGCATCGGGCTCTCTGCTCAGCAGGGAGCCTGCTTCCCCCTCTCTCTCTGCCTGCCTCTCTGCCTTCTTGTGATCTCTCTCTCTCTCTCTCTCTCTCTCTGTTAAATAAATAAATAAAGTCTTTAAAAAAAAAAAAAAGACAGTATGTCCTTTTAGGGAGGCACTGTGACCCGGTGGTCTCACGCTGCATCCTGCTTCTAGGGAAGCCTGGCTTAGAAGTCAGATTCCAGGAACTTCCTTCCTGTGTGACCTTGGGCAAGTGAATTCACCTCAATGAGCCTCAGTTTCCTCATCTGTAAAACGGGGACCATAATGGTACCCACAGCAGTAGGATATACAAAAAATCATGTGGCATAGATGTGGAGAGCACTACAATGGTTTCTGAGACACAGGAGGTGGTCGATAAATGAGTTATAATACTTTCTCTCCTCCTCTGGCCTCCAAGGTGTCTGATCTTTCCCTGCCACAGGCTTCCCTACAGAAAGAATTCATGGGTTTGGTAAATAAATTGCTCTTTTCTGCTGTCCTCTAGGACTCTCCACCTCCATCAAGTGCCAAAGATTGGGCCAGTTCCTCTTTATGCTGGGCCGGGCTGCGCTGAACCTGGCTTTGCTTAAGTCCTGACAAGTCAGGGCCTTTCTTTGTAGCCTCCTGCTACCTCTCCCCATGCTTCAGAGTTCCCCGGGGGGAACACATGGAAGGAAAACGAACCGACTCTCTGAGCCAAAGCTCAGAAAACTCCTGAAGCTTATATTCCTGCCATCATCCCAGGAACGTCCGTTCCCCAGCCCCTCCTCACCCCCAGCAGGCAGTCTAGATGCCCTCCGCCCAGCACACCCTGAAGGCTGCACCTCGCTCTTCTCTCCCGGCTGCCAGCCTGAGATGTTCAGTTGGCCTCACTTTTTACCTGATAGGAAACGTCTGGTGGAGGGAGGGGCTCCCAGTGGAAGACGGCCTCACCCTACCCCCGCCCCCAGGATGGCCTCTGGGTCTCCCTTACAGGTGGAATTGACCCTCTGGTCAGGGGCCTGCTGGCCAAGAAGTCCAAGCTCCTGGATCAGAACAAAATGATGACAAGAGAGCTGCGCAACAAGCTTTTCCAGCCCACCCACAAGATCCACGGCTTTGACCTGGCCGCCATCAACATACAGCGGGGCCGAGACCATGGGATGCCTGGTGAGTGGGCCTGGGGTCCTGCCTGGCCCAGGGAACTTCTCGTTACTTTCTGAGGGTCTTAGGGACTCTCTTCTATAACCCAGGGGATCTGGCCAATTCTAAAACTTTAGCAGAGATGCCAGTTTTTATTTTTTTATTTTATTTTATTTTTTTTTTAAGATTTTATTTATACATTTGACAGACCACAAGTAGGCAGAGAGGCAGGCAGAGAGAGAGAGGGAAGCAGACTTCCTGCTGAGCAGAGAGCCCGATGGGGGGCTCGATCCCTGGACCCTGAGACCATGACCTGAGACGAAGGCAGAGGCTTAACCCGCTGGGTCACCCAGGCACCCCCCCAGATGCCAGTTTTTTAAAAATGTATTTTGTTCATCTGTGAAATGGAGCCTTCCATTCTCCCTAATGCAGAGATAAGAGAACATACCTAGTACCGTCCCAGAGCTCCTCAGATGAACAAGAGGCCAACAACCGACTTGTCAAGCTGGTCTAAAAATCCCAGAAGAACATTAAGAAAGGAGAATAGAGACAAACCAATGACTTTCGGACCTTTCTTTTGTGCCCACAAAAGGCAATTTAATGTAGTAATTAAGAGCCGGACAGCCTGGGTTTCAAATCCCAGCTGTGCCATTTCTAGGGACATGTTGGGCAAGTTCCTTAGCATCTCTGCTCTTCAGCTGACATATTTGTACAGGGCTTAGCATAGTGCCTGGGCCCACAGCAAGCCCCGTGTAACCTGCTAGCCTTCTCAAGCCTCAAGGACCACAAGTGTAAAACAACGGAGCCCTGCCCACCCCGCCCCGGAGGCTATGAGGCCAGGCTTTCTGGGGCCGACGGAGCTGGAACCGGTATGTCCCCAAGGAGAGTTGTGGGGGAGAAGCCCCTGGGATGAGACAGCCTCGGCCCCTCTGCCCTAGGGTACAACTCCTGGAGAGGCTTCTGTGACCTCCCGCAGCCCAAGACCCTGAAGGAGCTGAACGCTGTGCTGAAGAACAGGAGGCTGGCTAAGAAGTTACTGGATCTCTACGGAACCCCTGACAACATTGACATCTGGGTTGGGGGCGTTGCTGAGCCCCTGGTAGAGAGGGGCCGAGTGGGGTCTCTCCTGGCCTGCCTCCTGGGGAAGCAGTTCCAGCAAATCCGTGACGGAGACAGGCAAGTGAGATCTTGTAAGGAGGGCAGGGGAGAGCTGACCCTTTTCTGTGGGGGTCCCAAAGTCCTGTGTGAGGACTGGCCCAGACCTCTACGTGTTCCCAGCCACCTCCTTCCTTCCCCTTCACCACAGGGGGGTGGCGGGAGGGGCCGCCAGCGGGGCTGTGTGGACAGACCCTGTTTCTGTCTCTGCAGATTCTGGTGGGAGAACCCTGGGGTCTTCACTGAGAAGCAACGGGACTCTCTCCAGAAAATGTCCTTCTCACGCCTGGTCTGTGACAACACCCACATCACCAAGGTCCCACGCGACCCATTCCAGGCCAACAGCTACCCCCAGGGCTTTGTGGATTGCTCAGCCATTGACAAGCTGGACCTGTCACCCTGGGCCTCTGTGGAGAATTAGGAGCCCAGGCTTCCCCGCCTCCTGCACTGTGCAGTAGCGCTCCCTTTGGTCCTTGATTCCATTTCAATCAAGTTTGGTGACCCAGTCCCTTAGAGCTCCACACCCCATCCCGGCCCTTCTTTTCAGCCGGGTTTCTCTCTACTCGCCAGATGCACACCGCGCTCTAGCCCAAGACCAGCACCTCAGCCTTCCCAGCTCTTCCACCTGAATCCCGCTGCTCCCATGTCATCCCCTCTGTCCATGAGATGTCACCCATCCTCTCCCTGCAACATGTCTCATCTGAGGCCACAGCCGTTGGGCTCTTATCTTTCCACCTCTCCTTTCAAACTAGATTGTAAGCTCCTTGAGCCAGAGACCAGTCTGCTTCCGTGTGTCCCCCGTGGCACCCAGCATGACGCTCAGCACACAGCACAGGCTCATTAAACATCTGATGGCTGACTGAAGGTAGTGGCAGTGATGCTATTCCCTTCCAGAAGGCAGACCTTGGAACCACGGCCAAATAAGTAACTGGAGGTTTACAGCGCAGACATGTCTTACCACTAAGACGCTGTGTGCATGGGTCTGGGGGGTGAGAAGTTATGGTGTGGTGAGATTTCAGTTCTCAGAGAAAAAAAGGAAGCAAGGGCTCCTGGGGAAAGAAACAATGGCCACAGATAGAGCCAAGGGAGAGGGTTTGGGGTGCTGTCCAGGGATCAAACAGGGAGGACTTCCAAGCCTGGATTCCCCTACAGCTAAAGTTGATTTCCCTTCCAGAAACCCTTCTGGGAACTACCCTCTTCTTTGAGGGCAGTCTTTGGATCCTATAAGACCTTTGAAGGGGCATCTCCAGAATATTCCTTGCACTGCTACCCAATACATACTCATGTCTTCTTTTAAAATGACCCTCCTTGGGGTGCCTGGGTGGCTCAGTGGCTTGAGCCTCTGCCTTCAGCTCAGGTCATGATCTCAGAGTCCTGGGATCGAGCCACGTGTCGGGCTCTCTGCTCAGCAGGGAGCCTGCTTCCTCCTCTCTCTCTGCCTGCCTCTGCCTACTTGTGATCTCTCTCTGTCAAATAAATAAATAAATAAAATCTTTTAAAAAAAATTTTTTTAAATAAATAAATAAAATGACCCTCCAGGTAAGGTCAACCTAGCTGGCACCTCCGGGTCCCCTGAGCGGTGGAGTGGGGGTGGGAGGCTCTTAGCCATCCTCTGGGAAGAGTCCAGGAGCCCGAAGACCTGGGCTGTTGTCCTGGATCTCACACCTATGTCTTTGAGCTTAAGATAAGCCCTATCACCTCTCTGGCATCAGTGAAATGTGGAGTATTTGTCCTGTTACGGGAGGTCTTAATGTGGCCTGCGGCTCCTATGGGTACACGAGCCTCAGTATCCTGCACACCTTCAGGCTTCCAGTTGGGAGGGGGCAGGAGGGAGCCCACCAGTCTCAGATAGAGGGGGTCAAGCTCCAGGCAAGATTATCTGGGAAATACCTCCTTCCCTTCCCTCAGCTCTGGCCCTGTCCTCCTGGGCCCAGCCAGCCATCTGCTGTCCCTGCTCTCGGAAACTGGCTGCATGAAGCCAGGACTGAGGAGTCTGCTGTCTCGAGGGCCTCCGAGCCACCATGCCAGGCTGCAGGGATGCCTGAGCCAGAGGCACCCCGTCACCTGGGAAGGGCCTACCTTCCTATCACACCTCTGTCATTTCTCTCCTGCAGGACAGCGTTGTGTCCCCTCCATCTCCCAGCCCCTGACACAGGCCTGACACAGAGTGAGGACACAGCAGACGTTGGCTAGAGCAGTGAAGATGCGTGAGGCCTTGGTGACCACAGTGTCTGTTCTCTGGGATGGTGTGGGTGGAAGGTGAGTCAGGATGGTCTGCTCAGCTTGTCCGGGCCCGGAGGCTTCTAAGAACTGCCTGCTGTGTGTGCATCAGAGGATGACTCCCAGATACCCTTTCCCCCACCCCCATTTCAGAGGCACGGACCACCCTGGTTCAAAATCAGAAGCCAGAGCAAGCCTCATGCCGAGGGCCCAGCCCCATAGCAGACAAGGACAGAGCGAAGATCCCCACCAGTGGCACTTTATTGTCACATCAGATACAAAAACATGGCACAGAAGGGCCAATGGGCCCCACTTCCTCTCCAGGGGGGCTCCTGGGAACAAGCAAGAGAACAGTGTAAGGAAGCAAAAGGGGAGCCACCGGCTGAGCCCTGCACCCCTGAGCCCACAGCTCAACCAGCACACCCAGCCTAACTGCTCGTGGTCATTTCCCCAGAGGTCACTGAGTCACCTCCGCTAGCCTGGACACTGTCAGGTATACACTCCCTGGGGGCAGACATGGTGTAAACAGAGCCTCTAAGGAACCACGACAGCTTTGATTTGCAAAGAAGAAAACTCAAGGTTTTCTCAAGAAAAGTGAAGTTGAGTCATTTGTTCAAGGTCACACAGTGGGAGAGCTGCAGAGTCGGGATTTGAACCCAGCAGGCTGGCTCCGAGCCAGCCTCCACACGCTACTCTCCTCCGTATTCTTAACACTCCCATGAACAGCAAACACACGCTCATATAAACGACTCGTATACACAGCACACAAAACACTACCCACGGTCTCAGAAAACTCACACACAGTAAATACAACTTATACATACTGTGCACGTGCGCGCACACACACACACACACACACACACTCATCTTCTGGGGCGGAACAGGGAAGAGCTCACCTCAGGAAGGGGCCCCCATGGGACCAGCCCGGGGACTGCCCAGGCGACCCCTCACCAGCACACCCCCTTACCCAGCTTCTAGTCACTGTCCTTCCAGGAAGTCAGGTCCAGTTTGGGGAGTGTGCTACAGTTGACAAAGTCCCGAGGGAACATGTTGGACATGAAGATGTTGTTCTTGGACACGGTGGTGATGCCCGTGTTGTCACAGATGATACGGGGCAGGGAGACCCTGGTCAGCGCCTGCCGCTGCTGCCTGCTGAACACGCCCGTGTTCTCCCACCAAAACCTGCATGGGGACACCCACGGACACTGTGCCCAGGCTGCATTGGCCGGGAGCACCTCTGCTGGCTTGAGCAGCTCCCTGGATGTAAGAGCACCACCGCAGACACTGGAGGGCTCCGGGAACCCCAGCATTACAGGGGCTTTCGCACGAGTGGGGCCCTCCTCACAGTGCGGTGGAGGGGAGCACCCTCGACGCCCCACTCGCGCTGCACGGAGAGCTGGGCCCGTGCTCCCTCATGACTCCCTGCGCTCTGGCCCGAGGCCATGTCCAGGGTGGCGCAGAGAACCCTGCTGTCCGTTTACAATGGGTCCACCCAGAGAGGGACACTTTTCTCTAGTTTTCCCAAGGGTGTAATACGGGCTAGGTAAGAACTGAGCATGGCAGGTGACGTGACACTAGCAGAGCCTTAGGGACTGTTCAACAGCGAGCACCCCGAAACCGGAGGAGTAAGTAAGAGCTGTGTTTTCTATCTTCCCTCCTTCACAACGGGGGGTCCAGGCCCCTCCTGGCTGCATAGTAGGTTCAGAGTATATGAGGGATGACCTCGAGGCCCTGGAACACCCTGGAAAATCACGGATCCCTTCCCGCCCTTCCCTTCACAGGTAGAAGTGCCCCCACCCCCAAAGGTTTGAGAACAGGTCTGCAACCACATGGCCAGCCTGAGAGGCTCACCGCCCCTCACCGGTCACCGTCGCGGAGCTTTCTGAACTGGGTCCCAATGAGGCAGGCGAGGAGTGGGCCCACGCGGCCGAAGGGCTCCAGGGGCTCGGCCACGCCACCCATCCAGATGTCAATGTTGTTGGGCGAACCGTACTGCTGCATCAGCTTCTCCGCCAGCTGCAGATTCTTCAGCACCGTGCCCAGCTCGCCCACCGTGTTGGGCTCGGGGAGCCCGCAGAAGCGCCTCCAGGCATTGTACCCTGTAGGGCGGGGGAGGGGGGAACGGCAGGTGGGGGAGGGTCCCACAAAACCCACTTCCCCAACACCCCATGACCATGACCATGATTGCGGCCACGACCCTCTACTGAGGGACATGAGGGAGGACACAGAGCACCTTCTCCCAGGCTCTAAGCCCCCGGGGAACCCCAAACTGAGGGGCCAAGACCCTCTCTCTTTCCTTTGCCCCACCCCACTGTGAGGCAGATCCTAAACTGCCGTAAGTCCTACAGCCTCCAAGTATAGGTACATCTCATTGTCCCCCTCTGAAGATCTCAGACCTATGAGAGGGGGAGGTGTGTCTAGAAGGTTCAGCCAAACCAGCTGTCCCATCATTTAGGCACAGGCTTTGGGGTTAGGCTAAGCTGGGTTGAAATTCAAGCTTGATCACTGACTTGGCTGGAGAAGAACCTGGGCAAGCCTCAGTTTTCTCATCTGTAAAATGAAAGTGATAATAATCTCTTCCCCCTCAAAGTTCCTGTAAAACAAAGCAACATGATATGTGATGGAGCCAGGTTTCCAGCCCACCTGGGCAGCTGGGGGCACTGCAGAGGGCAGGACCCTAGAGTGGGACGTGGGGGACCTGGGGGGCTCCTGCAGCCCCTCACCTGGGAGGCCATGGTCCCGGCTGCGCTGCATGTTCAGGGCAGGCAGGTCCAGCCCGATCCTCATGATCTGCTCAAACAACCGCTCCCGGATCTCGTCCACGACGATTTGGTTCTGGCGATTCAGCTTGGCAGGGGTGGCCATGAGGCCCCGCAGGATGGGGTCAATGCCACCTGGGACAAGAGGAATAAGCTTGGGGAAGGATCTGGCTTAGCAGCCAGAGTTCAGATTGGAGTTAGGAAAAAGTCCCAGGTGCCGTCAGGGCATGGGAGAAGAGGGCTGGGCACACGCAGCTCCTGGTGCCAAAGTGGCCTCAGTGGGCAGGTCTTGGCTGGGGAATCAAGGTCTCAGGGGATAATGCCACTCAGATTTGCAAGTTGGGGTGCACCCATCCCCTGGGCTCCTGGGTTACTAAGAATCATAATACACAGGAAGGACACAGCTCCCTACGAGCCTCTGCTCCCCCTGGGTTTAGTATTATATACAGAAGCAGTCAGGTGAACTGAGCCTGGCCGAGGTCCCTCTCACCTTCCAGCACTACCCTCCAGGTAGCAAAGAAGACCTTGCTGAGTGGAACACGGGGGTTGGGCCCCATGGGCCGGTACTGGTTATCCAGGCGGAACATGAAAGGCTGGATGAGGGTGTGGCCATAGCGGAAGGCATTGGTGAAGACGTTGGCGATGCGGGGGTCCACCGAGTCATTGTAGCTGCGGTAGGATGGCAAGTACTTCCTCATGGCCTGAGGTCCCAGCACCAGGGGCAGGTAGTCCCGGTAAGTGATGATCTGAGGAAGAGTCCCCACTCATCCTCTGTGCAGACTGTCAGCTGCTCCCGGTTTGGGTGGTGGGGGGGGTGTCCCTCCACTGTCCAGGGTCAGGGAGTTGTCTCTCACAGCACTGGGTCTGGGTCTAAAAGGGTGGCACCGAGGGGCAGACCCAGAGCTCCACCACTCCGTGCGACCCTGGACCAGTCCTGAACCTCTGTGAGCCCCAGTTACTCAAATGTAAATTAAGGATAATTACCCTGCCCTCTACCTTAAAGGATTAACTAACAAAGAGCTTTGTTAATCAACAGCTCCTCTGCCCTCAAGTTACTCCAGTCTTTTTTTCTCATAAGTTTATAAACTCCTGAGGGCCAGGCTTGTGTCTCATTTCCCTTGAAATTACTCGGGGCCCAGCAAGCACTTGGCTCACCGTAGGGTTCAACAGGCCTTTGCGGAGAAGGGGAAGCAAAAAGGAAAAGGGCCACCCTAGATGATTTCCCCCAGGGCAAACAGGAGTCATAGATTCTAGAGTCTGGAATCTTCTGCGAGGCTTAAGTGAATCTCACTTACATTCTTAGTGCAAAGCAAAAACTTACCCTCCACACCTGCAACTCTCTCCCCACTCTAAGAGTATAAAAAAGGTGCACATGCGTGTGCCTGCATGCTGTGTGTGTGTGTGTGTGTGTGTGTGTGTGTGTGTGTGTGTGTCTGGGAGAGGATGGGAATGCTGAAGCATCAGAAGCTGGGAGAGAGAACCAGAAGCACTTCCCAGGGTTAACCAAGGGTGAGAAGACTGGGTGAGCTATGATAGAGCTGAGTGGGTAAAGGAGCCAGGAGTCACAAGGAGAGGAGGAAAGGAAAGCATTTACTGACCAGCTACTGTGCACCAGGCACTGCAGACCCACCCGTTTAACCCTCCCAAAACCATTCCCGATGGACAGGACAGCAGAAAGGGGAGTCAGCCTAGGAAGGAGTGGATGGAAGCCAAGTGACCTTTGTCAGGTGCTTAGTATCTACTAGGTGTTTTCACATTTATCATTCAATCTTTACAGCATCATGGTTGCACACGCTGAGGCTCACGGGAGGCAGGGGTTAACTTGCCCCAGGTCACACAGCTAGGATATGGTGGAGGCATGTTTGGATCCCAAGCCTGCCTGACCCCTGGCACTGCCAGTACTCAGGCCTGCTACCTGGATCATGGCTCCCACAATCTTGCGGGCTTCCTGGTAGAGCCTCTCTCCATCCCAGCAGGGGTTTAGGCGTTTGAGCTCTGTGGCCAGCCGGTTGTGCTCCCGCAGAAAGAGCGTGTGCATGGAGGTGAGCTCGGGCATCTCGCTTGAACGCATATCACCTTGGGGAAGCAAAAGCTGCTGTCATTCCTAAGATCCCATCAGGAAGGACTTGCTCCCCCGAAACTCCCTCCCCCAGCCAAGGTCTGAGAACCAGACTTCCTCTCCGTCCATCTTCCCACACCATGCTCAGTTTTCACCTCCTCTAGGAGGTCCTCCCTTGATGCCCAAGTCCACCAGGATAACTTCCTCCTCTGTGTAGGGGCCCTGCTGGGCGGAGATGCTCATTCAGTAGGCAACAGAGCTGATACATGACTGGCCACATTCTGGTAGCCAAGACTGGGGGCTCCTGGAGGACGAGGACCAAGGCTTGGGCCTTTTTGTATCTGACCCTCCATCCAGCTCGCAAAGAGACATGTGGAATTTAACACTGTGCCGGCTACAAAGTAGGTGATCCGTGAACTGCCTGGTTGACTTATTCCCTTGATGCACGGAGGGCCAAGACGTAGCATGCTCGTTGACCCTCCCTATTTCCATGCCTGTGCATGACAGCTAATGATCACAGCACTCTCTCCTGCTCAAACTGCATGCAACCTCCACACAGGACTCTAGAAAGCCACTACCATCTGATCAGAGTTGCCATCCCCATCCTTACTACATGCTAATTTGAAGCCTGCTCAGGCTCCCAGGAGTGCGGGGGGGAAGAGGGCCTAGGGCCTAGGGTGCTTACAGTCCACTGAAACTGTTCAAAAAAACAAAAACCAAGTAAGAACTCTAATCCCTCTAGCCCTCCCCACCTCTTCTCTGGAAGGCCAGAGAATTGGGGCCAGACCCTTTGAGCAGGACGCTGGGTCCAGTCTTTATCAGCTCCAGATGCTGGTGGGAAAGAAATTCTTTGAGAGCAGGTTTTACTATCCCATGAGCAGCCAGGGGTCATGACGATCCAGGCCTAGGACATGGAGCTTGATTCCAGGATGGGGGCGGCCATAGCTGGAGGAGGAGCCCTTCTTTTCCCTCACTAGCCCAGAAAAGTATGGGCTTCCGTATGGACCAGAGCTGACCTTGACTCTCCTCCCCAGTGTCGTGGCAGAGGAGAGGCCACTGGAAGCCAACAGGAGGAGAGGCTGGGAGGCCAGATGTGAACAGAAGGGCCTCAGGACCACTACCGGATTTCCGTTAAAAAATACTGGACGGGTGCCTGGACGCTCAGTTGGTGGAACATGCGACTCTTGATTTGGGGGTTATAAGTTCGAGCCCCGGGTTGGGTGTAGAGATTACTTAAAAATAACATCTTGGGGCTCCTGGGTAGCTCAGTCAGTTGAATATGCAACTCTCGATTTCGGCTCAGGTCATGATCTCTGGGTTCTGAGATCAAGCCCAATATCATGTTCCAGAGTGCTCCTCCCTCTCCCTCTGCCCCTCCCCAACCCAAATAAATAAATAAATAACTCTTTTTTAAAAATTAAATAAAATCTTAAAAAAAAACCACATTGGAAAATTGCTGGGCTTGGGCACCATTACTGCTCCAACCACTTCCCTAGAGCTGCCACATGTTTAAATTTAAATTTAAATTTCACCCTCTCGTATTACAGGGACTGGAGACAGCAGGAGGTGACAGTCTGCAGCTGCACCATCCCACAGAACTTTCCGAATTGATGAAAACGTTCTACATCTGTGCCGCCCGATGTGGGAACCACTAACCTAGGAGGCTGCTGAAATGTGGCTAGAGCGGCAGAGGAACTGAATTTTATTTAATTTAAGTTAATTTGAATTAATTTAAATTTAAATGAAAATTGCCACGTTTGGCGCGTGGCTACCACCGGCAGATGATGCCGCCCATCTGCCGTAGAGAGTGAGGACGCCGCGTTCCTCTCCGTCCCCACAGTTCACTGCTCCTGGGGAACCCAACTCTCTGCCAGAGTCCAGAGGGAAAAGGAGAGATAGAGAAAGGGATGGACCGAAGGACAGAGGCTCCTCCTCACCCATCCCTGAGTTTCCTTCTTAGGTTTGGCTTTTTGGTTTTTTGGTTTGTTTGCCTTCCTGGCTCCACCCAACTTGTCACCAAGGCAACTGGATTAATGTGAAGTTGGTGAGGGCATGGACGGGAGTCCGTCTAAGTGCAAACCCACAGGCTGCTCACAAACAGGCCCCTGCGGCGCCAGTGCTGCGCCTCGCCTCCACCCCCCACCCCAGGTTGCCACTCCGGGCTGACCTGCCAGGAAGCAGGGGATGTTCACCGAGCGGTTGGTGAGGAGGCAGGGGTCATCATGCAGGGTGTCGAAGGGCAGCAGGGCCCGGCCGTTGTCGCTGAAGCGGGTGTTGACAGCCATCAGCCCCAGCTCATTGGACGTGTTCCGAAGCTTGGCGGCCAGAGGCTCCTCGCTGCCGTACACCATGCTGGCGTCCACGAAAGAGGTGAGCGCGTTGATCTGATTGCGGATGGTGATGTTGCTGTCTGTGCAGGCCGGCGAGGAGCGGAAGAAGGGGATGCAGTCACGTTGGTTTTTGATGCGGGGGTCATCTGGTGGGATCTGTGACACACAGACAGGGCCGGTTGGCTCTCCGCCTGTCCACCCCCTACTCCCAAGGCCTCGATCCCACGTCCAAAGCAGACTGGAACCCAGGACCAGAGGGGGAGACCCAGACACTGAAAGGAGGGCTTTTCAGGACTTCTGGCCTCCTCGGCCTGCAGGGGGGGCTTCTCGAGGCCCACAGAGGCTCACAGCCTGGGGCTGCACCTGCGGTGTTCCTCCCAGCTACCAGCTTTGGGGGTGTGACCAGAACTCTGGAATGGGGAATGTGCGGGCTCCCTGGAGGAGGGCCAGCCAGTCCTCCCTTAAACGTCCTTTCTCTCCCTCCTTTTCTCCAGGGTCTCCGCCCCTCACTCCCCTGTTCTCTGGATGTGGTCTCAAACTCTCAGTTAGCTTCCTCTTTCTTTCTTCCTTTTTTTTTTTTTTTAAGCCTCCTCTTTCTTTTCATTTCCTGCTCCCCCCACCTCACCTCCCCGTCCCTTTCCTGTCTTTCACTCTGGCCCGTGCCTTTGTCTCCTCTCACTCTCTCCTTCTCAGCCATTCTCTTTCCTTTCTCTACTCCTCTCCCTACTGTGCCTCAACCATCCAGTCTCCTCCAGCCCTCCTGCAACCGACAGCCCAGGCTCTGTGCAATGTGCGCCAAGAGCGGGGGTGAGGAGGTGGCCCTCAGTGAGGAGGAAAGGGACTGAGAACCTGGCACCGGCACCCCGAAGTTGGAGGGAGACGGGAAGGTCCTCCGCACGGAGGCAGAGGCAAGTTGGTGGCAGGGCCAGCCCTAGTTGCTGGGGCGGGAACTCTAGGCACAGAGAGAGGTGGCCGTTTCCAGGAAGGATACCCCCTCTCTCCACTGGACAGGCAGCGGCGGGGCAGGAAGAAGGGAGCACCTTGAGCGGGAAGCAGGGCGGCTGCTGCAGGCAGCTGGTCTCGCAGTCTACACCAGCGACGAAGGAGACCCGGGCGCCCGGGTCCGGGCTCAGGTCGAGGTCGTGGTCGATCAGCTGGCCCCACTGCATGAACAGGAGCGAGCGCTCCTGGTCCGGGGTCAGCTGCTCGGTGGGGAAGCGCACGATGGCGTTGGAGACTGCGCGCGCCTGCGGGACACGGAGCGTCAGAGGACACCTGGGACCCCGTGCGCCTCGGGGCCAGACCTCGCCCCCCACCTCCCACCCGCCACCGCCGGCCGGCGCTCACCAGGGGCACCGGGAAGCCGCCGCGCTTGACCCCGGGCGTCCAGCCGTAGGGCAGCGAGGAGCCGTCCTCGTACTCGGCCGGCAGCCAGCGCGCAAAGGCGCGATTGGAGGCCCCCAGCGTGGGGCTGCGTCTGCAGAGGGAGGACCGGGCGCTGACGTGAGGTGGCCCCGGGGGGAGTCGCCCTCCTGCCAGGGGCCACCCGCAACCGACCACACCTGTTGTTGCAGTGACCGGTGATGGTACGGTACTTGTCGTTCTCCGGGCATGTCACCCTCACGTCCTGGTAGGCGCAGCCGCTAGACTTGGACAGCAGATTCAGCTGGGCCGGTGTCAGCATGTCTGGGGCCGGGGAAAGAGGGGCGTGGTTGGCGAGTCCCCCCACCTCCTAAGCTGGGGAGTCTTGGTTGGGGGCCCAGTCTGAGGACACAGAAAGCAGATCCCGGAGCACCTGAGACTCCCCAGAAGAAGAATGGGGGGTGGGGGTCACTGGGAGATGGCCAAGGTCACTAGCAGAGCAGGAGACCAAGGTTGCAGGGGCGGCAGTACCAGTGATGTTGAAGGGCCCCCGCCGCAGAGGCCGCAGCTTCCCCTCCAGCAGGCTTAGGGCCACGTGCAGGTAGTCGGCAGCCCGCACAGCTGTCCTGGTGGCTGCCACCGGCTGCTTGAAGTAGGCCAGCAGTTCCATGGGGCTGGCCAAGCCACTGTGAAGGCGCCTCTTGATGCTGCTTAGAGAAGGGAGGAGTGAGGCCAGAGACAGTGGGGCGGGGGATACTCCACAGAGCCCTAGCCCCAGGCCAGCATGCAGGACAGTGTAGACAGAACCACAGACCGGAAGAAGGTTTCTCTTTATAAACAGAGTGTGGATCTGGGTGTCCAGACAGAGGCAAAGCCATGTGGAAGGATGGTTTTGAAGGTATTCTCAAACCCAAAGACACTAAGACCGACAGGCAAACAGGGGGCTCTATTCCCACCCACGAAGTCCCCGTGTCAAGTTGCTTCTCTGAAAGACCTGGGGCAGCCGTGCCCAGAGCTGGGATGTGCCCGGCACCCCACCTCTCCCGCCGCTCCTTGTAGGCCGTGTCCACTAGTCGCTTGGCTTCCTCCATGCAGGTCAGTACCACTGAGGTCTCTACCTCCTCCAGGACAGCTGCCCAGAACAGGGGTCACAAAGTCAGGAATGGGCCCCAGAGCCAGGGTGGCCTGTGCCAAGTCCTGGAGACTCAGAACCACCCCGAACACACCACCTTTTCCCTTCTTTCTGCACCATTACCTGGACTGGCACCCTCAGAGCGCCAGGGCACAGCCAGAATGGCCAGGAGCCCGGCAAGGACTGGCAGCAGCTTCATCTCTGCAACAAGACCCCAAGCCCAGTAAGTCCAGAGGGCCCAGTGCATTTGGGAGAAGAAAGCCCCACCAGCCCTCTCCCCCTGACCCCTCATTCCCACCTTCATACTCCAGTACAACCTCAGTGGGTCCTACCTACCTCCTCAGGGAAGGGGTCCACAGCGCCCCTCTTTTGCTAGCTTCAGTCTCTCAACCCCCAGGACCTCACCTCCGAAGTTCACCTGGTACTGGCCAGGAGGCTAACCTGAATCAAGGCCTTTATGTCTTCTGTACTGAGGGAGGGGGCGGGGCAGAAGAAACCCCGCCCCAGGAGACTAAATGCTCTCTCTTCCCCCCACTGGGGTTGGGGTGCCCAAATGATGGCCCCTCATATGGGAGAGAGGGACAAGAAAGGAGAGACCAGAGCTGTGCCCAGCCTTTGAACTTAGCATCCCACCCCAGAGCTTCTTAGCTCCCATCGTGTGCCTAGACCAGTGCTATCCCTACGGGGGATAATTAATGCCCCTCCAAAATTCTGGTTAAACTATCTGGGGGTCCTTTGAAAGGTACAAAAGTCAGGAACCAACAGCCTAAGAAACTATAGGACATGGAATGACCCCAGAGGAGGAGGGAAGGTGTAGGGGACACCTGGAGTAATGATCAATCAGCCTTGGGGGGCTGCCACCCACCCCCAACAGTATGCTGGCCCCTGGCAGCAACCCCATTCTTGACAAAGGCTGAAGGGACAGGAAACCTGGCAGGAGACCGTTGGGTTTCATAGGAAAGCCTGGGGGCTACAGGCTGGGGACCACGGTAACTTCCTCCCTCCCTCTTCTCCTCCCCTTTCTTCTGGGCTCCGGGTAGCAGGCTGTCTTCAGCACTCCTGCCATCTGCTCCTGGATTTTAGGAACCAGGAAAGAGCAGAGCTGGATGTGGTTAGTGGTCAGTTGGGTGACAAAGCCCAGGGCCTCTCTGGGATAAGATCAGTGCAGTTAAGAGGACAGGGGTTAACTCTTAGGATGGGTCTGAAAGGGGTGCCTGGGTGGCTCAGTGGGTTAAAACCTCTGCCTTCGGCTTGGGTTATTATCTCAGGGTCCTGGGATCGAGCCCCACATCGGGCTCTCTGCTCAGCGGGGAGCCTGCTTCCCCTTCTCTCTCTACCTGCCTCTCTGCCTGCCTCTCTGCCTACTTGTGATCTCTCTGTCAAATAAATAAATAAAGTCTTAAAAAAAAAAAAAAAGGATGGATCTGAATGGGCCTGAAATAGAAGAGGGGGAGGTGTCTCCCCTTAAGAACGCTGGCAAGGCAGGACAGGTATCCTCTGACTAATGGCTGTGCTTGTTCACCTCCCTGGGCCCTTATCGGGCTTGTATGATGTGTGGTCTAGCCCCATCTCCCACTCCAGCCACTTTCCTGCCCTCCCTCTTGTCTTTTATGCCCACACCACATCTTGGCTGAGGAACAAGGGACAAAACACACCAAGAACACCTTCCGGGTGTGCCCGCAGATCCCGTCACCAGTGGAGCCCATGAGAAAGGAGGCCATTCTTCCAGGCTTGCTCTCTCAGTGCCTTGCTCTGTGTGAACTTGGACAAGTGGATCCTTGTGAATCAGATCTAGAATTTTATACTTTTGAAATACTTTTTTTTTATTAGACATTTTTTTTAAAGATTTATTTATTTATTTATTGGACAGAGATCACAAGTAGGCAGAGAGACAGGCAGAGAGAGAGGAAGGGAAGCAGGCTCCTCTCTAAGCAGAGAGCCCAATGCAGGGCTTGATCCCAGGACCCTGAGATCATGACCTGAGCCGAAGGCAGAGGCTTTAACCCATTGAGCCACCCAGGTGCCCCTGAAATACTTTTTTAGGGGCACCTGGGTGGTTCAGTTGGTTAAGTGTCTGCCTTCAGCTCAGGTCATGATCTTGGGGTCCTGGGATCCAGACCGGCATCTGGCTCCCTGCTCAGCAAGGGGTCTGCCTCTCCCTCTAACCCTGCCCCCTGTTTGTGCTCTCTCTCTCCCTCAAATAAATAAATAAATAAATTTTTTTATTAAAGATTTTATTTATTTATTTGACAGAGAGAGAGACCACAAGTAGGCAGAGAGGCAGGCAGAGAGAGAGAGAGGAAGAAGCAGGCTCCCCGCTGAGCAGAGAACCCGATGCGGGGCTCGATCCCAGGACCCTGGGATCATGACCTGAGCTGAAGGCAGAGGCTTTAACCCACTGAGCCCCCCAGGAGCCCCTAAATAAATAAAATTTTTTAAAAAAGAAAATACTTTTTTAATCCCACAGGTAATATATTTCTATTCATGAAAAGTCAGAGAACACAAGAAAAAACAAAAATAAACCAAAATTACTTCTAATCAAGTGAGGTTAAAAGCAAAATTTTTATCTTTCCAGGCTTGTAATTTTTCATACAAATAAGAAGCAGGAAGAAAATTTCTCATAACACCACTATGCATAAACAACCCCATTTAATCATTTGACACCCTATATGTAGATATAATATGTATTTTAAATGGTGATAAAAATATACTTTAAATATTGCTTTACGACCTAGTTTTAGTACTTAAAGTACTTTAGTACTTTAGCCTGGATTCTCTCTATGTCGATAAATAGACTTAGTTCATTCATGTATCTGCATAATATTTTGCATTAAGTACTAGGATTACTCACTAATCCCTTCTTGTTAGATCCTTGGGTTGTTTCCTATTTTCAGTGTTATAAGCAGTACTAAGTCCAACATCTGTTGGGTAAAATCTCTTGTCACATCTTCAATTATTTCCTTAGGCCTCGAAGTAAAATTGTTGCATATTTAGGTATCAATATTTTTAAGGCTTTAAAAAAATTGTCAACTATCCCACTTTAATGTTTCTCTTTTAATATTTAAGTTAAACATATGTGAAGTATTTATAAAATATTTGGAGAACTATATCTTTTGTAATCCATACAGCATCTACTGTTTTCCTAACACCTTAATTTTACTTTATGTTTTAATTTCAGTATAATTAATTCAGTGTTTTAGTAGTTTCAGAGGTACAATAGAGTGATTCAGCAATTCTATAAATTACTCAGTGCCCGTCACCATATGTGGACTTTTAATCCTCTTCACCTATCTAAGCCATCCTTCCATCCCCTCTGGTAACTATCAATTTATTCTCTGTATTTAAGAGTTTGGGGTTTTGTTCATCTCTTTTTTTCTTTGTTATTTGTTTTGTTTCTTCAAGTCCACATATGAGTGGAATCATTTGTTTTCCTCTGATTTAATCACTTGGGATTTTACCCTCTGGGCCCATCAGTGTCGTGGCAAATGGCAAGATCTTATTTTGGGGGGCTGCTTAATGTTCCATTGTATATGTATCTTAATTCATCCATTGCATATCTTCTTTGTCCATTCATTTATTGATGGACACTAAGATTGCTTCCATAGTTTGGCTATTATAAGTAATGCTGCCGTAAAACATAGGGGTACATTAAAAAAATCGTCAAATGGCCTCATGAAGATTGCATTTCACCCTCCCTTTAGCCATGCATGGAACACCTGTTCCCCGTTGCCCTCGTCAACTCTGACAATTAGTGTCCTTTTACTCTTTTAGGGGGAAAGAGACATTTAACACAAGCCCCTTGCAGCACAGATGAGAAAGACAGAGACAGGAAAGGAAGTGCCTGTGCCAAAGGTGACCGTGTGGCACAGTTCAGGATAATCTGGCTGTTAGGTCTCCTGACTTACACACCAGAGATCTTGAAAAAAAAAAAATTCTTTATTTAAATTCAATGTAGTGAACAGATAGTGTATAATTAGTTTCAGGGGTAGAATTTAGTGGTTCCTCAGTTGCATCTTAACTGTATCACATCACGTGCTCTCCTTAATGCCCATCACCCAGTGACCCCATTCCCCACCCCCACCCTCCAGTAACCCTCTTTGTTTCCTAGAGTTTACCATCTCTTATGGTTTGCCTGCCTCCCACACCAGCACTCTTCACCCAGTGGCCTCCGCGTACTTATTTGTGACCTTTCTTTCGGGCACTTATCCAACAAGTATCCACAGGGCACTTATCCTGCCCTGTGCTGACCACTGGGCCTACCCTGCCGAGTGAAGGCCTTGTCCTCAAGAAGCGCACAGGAGAAAACAGATGACACAGTAACAGAACGTCAGAGCCTCGTGCAGGGTTCTTTGGGAGCACTGAAGAGCAGCACTTGGACCAATCGGTACCGAGGAAGGGTTTCTTGAGGAGCTGGTGCTTGAGACTATCTTTAGGAATGTTTAGAAGTGAACCAAGTAGGGAGTACCTGGGTGGCTCAGTTGGTTAAGCGTCTGCTTCAGTTGGTTAAGCATCTGCTTTCGGCTTGGGTTATGACCTCAGAGTCCTGGGGACTGCGTCCCGTTTTGAGCTCCGTGCTTAGCGGGAAGCCTGCTTCTCCCTCTACCTCTGTCTGCCGCTCCTTCTGCTTGTTTCTCTCTCATTTCTCTCTCTCTCTGTGTCAAATAGATAAATAAAATCTTTTTTTTTTAAGATTTTATTTATTTATTTGACAGACAGAGATCCCAAGTAGGCAGAGAGGCAGGCAGAGAGAAAGAGGAGGAAGCAGGCTCCCCGCTGAGCAGAGAGCCCCTGCAGGGCTCCATCCCAGGACCCCGGGATCATGACCTGAGCCGAAGGCAGAGGCTTTAACCCACTGAGCCACCCAGGCGCCCCTAGATAAATAAAATCTTTAAAAAAGAAAGAGGTTGACGAAGTAGACACAGGGAGGAAGAGCATTATGGGCCCAGAGAACAACATAGCAAAGGCCTTGACACCAGTGGTCTTCACTTAGTTCCAACTGGGGGCAAGGATGAGGCCTGATGAGGTTGGTAAGGCAGGAACCTAACAGTCTCGATGGCCTGTTGAGAAGTTCTTGTCCTGAAGGCTCCAGGGAGCCGTAAAGGCCATGAAGGTCACAGAGGTACATTTTAGAAAGCTGACTCAGCAGAGTGGAGGGTGCCCTGGGCTCCAGGCCCAGAGGCTAAACGCTGGGCAGGAGGCACCGCCGGGATTCAGGGGCGGGGGTGAGAGGCCAGCCCTGTTTTCTCACAGGGGGCAATGATGCAATGAATGTTTGGAAAGCTAAAGCCTCTTCAAAGAATGATGTTAAAATGCCCTTCGCTCTACCCATGTGGAGATGGGAGGATTCTCAGGAATTCTCAACCATCCCCAAACCACCTGCCTTTGGCTCAGGCCTGGGGCTGTGGGCTTGCGTTTGCGGGTGGAGGCTTGGGAGGCTTCGTGACTTTACGAGGTTTCCAACCAATCAGTGATGACACAGCCGGGTCTGCTGAAGGCTGCCCATGGGGGATCCCTCGTGTGGGCCTTGTTTGTGTGGCCCAGGGGTCTGTGAGGCTCAGAGGGCTTCTCAGCATTCCAAGTAACCAGAAGAACATGTCTGCCCGAGGAGATATTCCAGACCAGTCTTGCCCTATTAGTTACCCCTGGTCGCCATCCTGGGGGTGGCCTCTGGAGGGCACTGCTGCCACTCCTACATCCCCAGACTATAGTCCTTTGAGGGAGCCCCCCCTTCTCCCCACTTACCTTCCCCAAACATCCCCACCCCTAGGGTGAAGTCCAACGGCCTGTGGGATAACGGGCTCTCTGCCACTGCTTGCAAAACAGCGTGTTCTTTCTTCATGCTGTTTGGGAAAGAGTTCAGTTGGGATTGCCTCCGGATTTCCTGTGTGTCTGTGGCTGGAGGGAAGGAGGCTTTGGGAGCTTGGGGTGGCGGCAGCAGGGCCAAGCACTCCTCAGGAGCAGCAAAGGCACCTGGCCCAGAGGCCTTCATTCCTTGCTCTTTACATTTTAAAGAATTGGTTTTGAATGACACGGGTAATGCTTGGATATATTTTGAATACAATTAAAATATCGCCAGTCCTGCAGATGGTCCGTGGATTAGGTTACGGAGCCCATGCCTGACTGCAGTCTCTTTCCTCTGTTCCTCGCACAGGCACACCACTGTCATGCTTGTGTTGGCCCTTCCAGACCTTTTACTTTTTTTTTTTTTTTTAAGATTTTATT